CTGCTCAAAGCAGGACCAATCCCCAGACAGATTTTTGCCCCAGATCCCTGAAGTGCTCCCTCACGGATTGAACTCATAACCCTGCATTTAGCAAGCCAATACTCAAACCACTGAGCTATTCCTCCCCCCTAGTTTAGGTGTGACAGATAGAGGGGGTATCTGGGGATAGATTGCTAGATAGATAGACAGAGGGGGTGTCTAGGGATAGATAGATAGAAAGAGGGGGTGTCTGGGGATGGAGAGATAGATAGATAGTGTGTATGGGGATAGATAGATAGAGGGGGTGTCTGGGGATAGATAGATAGAGGGGGTGTCTGGGGATGGATAGATAGATAGAGGGAGTGCCTGGGGATAGATAGATAGATAGATAGAGGGAGTGTCTGGGGATAGATATATAGATAGATAGATAGATGGAGGGGGTGTATGGGGATAGATAGATAGAGCGAGGGTATGGGGATAGATAGATAGATAGATAGATAAAGGGGTGTCTGGGGATAGATAGATGGTGTGTATGGGGATAGATAGATAGAGGGGGTGTCTGGGGATAGATAGATAGATAGAGGGGGTATGGGGATAGATAGATAGATGGGGGTATGGGGATAGATAAATAGAGGGAGTGTCTGGGGATAGATAGATAGATAGATAGATAGATAGATAGATAGATAAAGGGGTGTCTGGGGATAGATAGATGGTGTGCATGGGGATAGATAGATAGATAGAGGGGGTGTCTGGGGATAGCTAGATAGATAGATAGATAGATAGATGGGGGGTATGGGGATATATAAATAGAGGGAGTGTCTGGGGATGGATAGATAGATAGATAGATAGATATATAGATAGATAGATAGATAGATAGGCTTCATGATTAATGGAATTTACATTGATTCTGACACTCCGGACCATATGTGTCTAAAGATAGCAGTTGTTCTCTGTTTCGCTATTTTCATGCAAGGAAGGCAGTGGGTCAAATTCTGTCAGATGTTACAATGATATAAACCCACAATGGAATTGTTCAGCGTTTACAGAAGAGTAACTGAGAACTGAATTGGGTCACAAAGTGCTATATATGCTGTGCTGCTAAATAAATAAATAATAATAAATGTTCCTGGACATTTTTGTGCCAGACTTATACTGTAAAGCAGAGGCTGGTGAAAGCTGGGTGGGGAGATGTTGTTTGGGGCATAGAACCACAGTGCCAATATCAGAAATTTCAAGGGAGGGTGCAAGTTGTCTCTTAATGGACAATGGTAGAATAAGCTGCTAAACACTGAAAGTTTCTTCCTAACCTAGGCAGTTGATTTCTAGCATGAGGGTTTGTGTCCTTCATACGTTTTTATCCAGTCTAATATAATCGTAGATGTTCTCATTATCCATATAAGTGTCTAATCCTCTTTTGAGTCCTGCTAAGCTCTTGGCCTCAATAATACCTCGTGGCAATGACTAAAGTTTTGGAATTTGCACAGAGCCTGAGACAGGTACAGAGAGGAAGTTGGAATCGATACACACAATAAAATAAATCAATCCTATTTTGGGAATGCTTGGGATCCGGGCTTGTTCTCTGGGCCCATCTCAAGCTGGGACAAGAAGCACTGAAACAGTAGGCTAGGATTTGACCCATTGAGATCTCTGGAGAAACGTCTGATTGACTTCAATGAGAGCAGAGTTAGGCAAAGGCTGACTGGTAATATGTGGCAATTTCCATAGCAAAGAGGTCCACAGAGCACAGATAGTGTTCAAAGTTTTCCCAAATCGTATTGTTTGCATGTCGTCCTCACCAGCTGCGTTTGGGCAGCCTGAGAGCGATTTTGGTTTCTGCAATATCTCCAGCCGAAAATATTTTCATCTTTTAAATAGGGCTGGTGGGAAAACAAGAAGTCAGTTTCGTGAAAAATGTGCAGGTTTTGGAATGTGATTTCTTTCCCCATTGGAATGAAACTGAGACCTTTTGAAATATTTTAGTAAAAAAGAAACAAACAAACAAACAATAACTCTCTCTCACTCACTGTCCCCTGATTTGACCAGAAATTCCATCTGGAGCTGAGAAATCCATCCCAATGAAAGTTTCATGGACACTGATATGTTTCTGTGAAACGTTTCGGTTTTGATAAATGGGCATTTTCTGACGCAAAACATTTTGTCGAAAAATTCCTGACCAGATCTAGCTTTAAGCTTTGGATTTTGTGAAACTAGGTTGAGTTCCAGAAAACTATTTTCCCTTAATAAAAACAACAAGGAGTCTGGTGGCACCTTAAAGACTAACAGATTTATTTGGGCACAAGCTTTCGTGGGTAAAAACCTCACTTCTTCAGGTTTTTACCCACGAAAGCTTATGCCCAAATAAATCTGTTAGTCTTTAAGGTGCCACCAGACTCCTTGTTGTTTTTTGTAGATACAGACTAACATGGCTACCCCCTGATTCTATTTTCCCTTAATGTAAGCCCTGGGATTTCCCAGGTAAAATAAATTAGAAATCTATTTCTCTAAGTAGCCAGAGGCCTGGGCTAGGCATGCAGTAAAGATTCTGATTTGAAAGGAATTCTTATCAGGGAATAAAACAATATTAATAAAAACCCTCCATGAAGCAGTTCTGCCACGGTTGATCACAAGGGCCTGATCCTGAAAACCTTCCTTGTTAGTCCAGTTGGACTAACATGGGGAATGGTGGTAAGATTGGACCCCTTAGTATTAATAACTCAAAAGGCTTAATCAAATCATTAGTCCAATTATTGAAGTTAAACGAAGGTGAATTTCACCCAGTACTACTAGGAATCGTAACTAAAAATGAGTGGCATGCGCTGCCTCAGATCTTAGGTGTTTGCGCAAACATTCCCTTTGCCTTGGTTTAACATACCTTGAGCTTCAGTTTGAGGGTTTGAATAAGCCCCCAAACTTACACAAAATTGGACAGATGCCACCAACTTTTCCCCAGTCTCACATCAAAACCATAACCAAGCTTGGAGACCTTTAGAAACTTTCCTAGGGCTTGGGCTGAGACTGGAGTTGGGAACAAGATCTGGAGGGAGACAGATTTCATGTACGTGCGTACAGAAAGGTTTCCACTGCTCCAAACACGACAGTGACAGGACTACATAAATACACAGACTAGCTAAAATGAGCAGCTAGATAGCTAGATCACCTCACCAAACTATTTCAAAATGACATTTTGTTTTGAAATGTAGCTAGATTTAAGAAAGCCAAAAAACAACAACAAAAAGGGTGTGTGTGTGTGTGTGTGTGTGTGTGTGTGTGTGTGTGATAAGAAAACCAAGAAAAAGGAACAAAATAGAAGCCTACAAATTGTTTTCTATTTCGAACCCC